AATGCCTAATAAAAAACCAAAAATCTCTAAAATTTTCATGATTTTTCCAAAAACGTTTTTTACTTTTCTTACAGGTTTCCTAAAAGACTTAATCGAAACAGGGGAGAAAAAATCCCGTATCCCTCTAGGGAGGTTTCCAAAAAACTCGGTGACTTGGTAATGTGAGGTCGTAGATGCGCCACTAATAAAAATCGATTACGACGTGTATGATTAGCGCTTATGATCTGAGTCTGATGCATCCCTCTTGAAAAGAAACATCATTTTACGTTTTCGATTTTTTTTGTATGGTATCAATATTTGATTAGTCCGTCAATAAAAATTTTGCCCATTTTGCCCATGATCTTTTTTCCATGTAAGCAAAACTTGCCCATTGGTCTAAAAGTCCTGGTTGCGCCACTGTACTGTATTTCCGGATAAGAAACTCAGAAAGAAGTAAATATTGGTTTGTAAGCATAGCTTTTCAAGCTCTATCGAATGGCCTAGCTAAATTCAAAGGCAAAAATTTGCCGTATGCAGACGTATGCATAAATATATTCGTTTTCTTGTGGATGTTCTCTAAGGATCACATCGATTGAATTTGCAACAAACTTCAGCTTGTCCAAGCATAATGGCAAGCGTGTTTGATATACTATTTTCTGTTGGTATGGAGAACTTAAGTAGACACGAACTTTCTTCAAACTTCAATTGATGCAGCATGTTAAACATTACCTATACTATGAAAGTGATTTGCTGCCAACAAACATCTGTGTTTCTGAAAAAGTCGTTCGATTGTGTAACATTGTCTCGCCAAGGACTATCATTGTGTAATATTTATCGTTAAGGTGAGATTTCTGACGAAACTGTTGATCGCAACATAATTTAACAAACATGTACTCGGTACAGCTACTTGCATGCTTCATCTGTAAAAAGTATTTCTCCCACTTGGTTTTTCTCGGGTAATACATACAAGAAACTAACCGACCTGCTGGAATGTAGCTTTTTATGAACCATTTTTGGTGTACCTCATATGATCTAGATGGTCTAAATAATCGGCGGATTAATCCGTTTGTCTAGGTAGGTACTCGGTCAAATAAATTAGATAGATCCATCGACACGCAAACAGATAGTCTCCAAAGAAAGTGGAAAACCATGTATAGAAGTGCAAAGTCAGCTTAACGGTTAAAGTATTGGGCTAGTGGCCCTATTTGTAGAACACAACATCAATCAGAGATGCTCAATGCGCTTTCCAGAAAAACTTTCTTGCTGAGTGTTACGGACATGTGTACAAAATGTCTTCTAGGAAACTGGGGACAGTTTCATTATCAACGTGAAAAAGTACATTCAGAAACCTGCTTAAATATGCTTCCTTTGCAAAAAAATCAATTTTTTCAAACTTGATGAGTGAGTCGACTTTCTTTTGAGCACCAAAAAAAAGAGCCAACTATATTTTAAAAAATATAGTTTATCCTTCTTTACTTTTTACTGTATTTATTTGAAGACGATAGCTCGGAAATCCGATCAACATACAAGTTTGTGAAGATAAATCAATCCTTTATTTTTGTAGACGAAAAAGCTACAAAAGTTAATCGTTGTTTAGTAGCTCTTTAGTTTCTCCACTTTTTTTTACCACGTGGAGTTTTATTTACCAAATATTTTATCCTATCTACAAGCAAATAGGTGATGAGAAGCAAAAGCAACCATCCATCCGTGCCATTTTCTATGGCTGGGCGTTGACAACAAGGATATACATATCTATACGTATATATCGATATTTGTTTCTCTTTATGTATTCGAAAGACAATCGGCAAAGGTATATAACACGAAGGTTACATTCGAAATAACTGACACAAGCGAAAACGAAGTAACGCGATAGGCATAACAATTGCGTCCTTCGCGAAGAAAACACTAAATAACAACATCGTTTCAAACGATTTCAACGAAACCAGTTGA